TCTGAAATTTTTGCTTGCTCCTTTCATCTGATTCATTATTAGCATTATGTGGTTTCTAAATCTGGATTTGGTATATAAAATGGGTGGCAAAATGGACTGAGTGCCAGGCCTGGAATCAAGTAGACCTGATTTCAAGTCTAGTCTCAGTCATTTACTCAGTCATTTAATCCTGGGTAAGTCTCTTAATCACAGCTACCTCAGTTTCTTCATATGCAAATTGGGGATCATAATACTATGTACATTAACAGGGTTTTTGTGATGACTAAATGAGATAATGTTTATGAAAAGAGTCAAGCACATAATAGCTACTGTATGAGTTTTAAGTTATTATTGCTGAAAGGAGCCTTAAAACATAGAAGACAAACTATCAGAGCTAGAATATGTTTTAGAACAGAACTGAGAAGGACTTTAGAACAGAAAATGTCAGAGGCAGAAAATACATTAGAACATAGAATGATGGAACTTGGAGGGAATGTAGAACACAAAATGCAGAATGTCCAAGCTAGGAGGATCCAATGTCCTCATTTTAGTCCCAGACATGTAAAGAACCTTGCCCAAGGTCACAAAGCTAGTTAGTGGCATGGGTCTTACTTCCTAACGACTAATAAGAATAGTTCACATCTCTAGTTTGCTTTGTGCCTTACAAACTGCAAAATTTTCATCATCAAACTCATGTGGTTAAGTTAGTATCAGTCTTATTGTCCTCATTTTTATAAAAGCAGAAACTAATACTCAGAGGAGTTGTTATTTGTTGAGGGCTACACAGCTAGTAACTGTCAGATCCAGGGTTCAAAACCAGATTCCTTCTAACTCCAAATTCATTGCTTTTCCCCCTATGTCACACGATCTCCCCTTACACCTTCCTACTAACATCCTAGAGAAACTTTATTTCTCATTAAGAAGGCTAAAATAGCTCACTATTTCTCCTATCGCAGAGAAATTTAGTATCTGTGTCCCTTGAGTAGTGTGTATCCTAGGAAGGTAGAATACTGGAGCTGGAAGGGGTTTCAGAAATTACTTTGTTAACAGATGGGTAAACTTTAGCCCTCAAAGCTACACAGAGTAAATCAGCCACCTAGTTAAGACTAGATCTCTGATCTCATTACTCCTAGACCTGAGCTTATTCCATTTCCCAATGCCGTTGCAAAAACTGTATTTGTCATTGTCATCATTTGGTCATTAAGTCATGTCTGATTCTTCATGACCTCGTGGACCTTAGCTTGCCAGGCCCTTGTATCCTTCACTATCTCCTGAAGTCTATCCAAGCTTACGTTCATTGCTTCCATGACACCATCTATCCATCTCATCCTCTGTCATCCCTTTTTCCTTTTGTCTTCAATCTTTCCCAATATCAGGGTCTTTTCCAATGAGTCTTGCCTTTTCATTATACAATCAAAGTATTTAAACTTCAGCTTCAGTATTTGGCCTTCTAGTGAACAGTCTGAGCTAATTTCTTTAAGTATTGACTGATTTGATCTCCTTGCTATCCAAGGGACTTTCTAAGGTCTCCGACACCACGATTCAAAAGCATCTATTCCACGATGCTCAGCTCTCCTTATAGCCCAACTCTCACAGCCATAAGACCTTGATAAGGATTCTTTAACCCCTAAAACTCAGGCATATTTCCTTATCATCAATCTAGAGCTTCCTCAGAGTGGTGTAGTAGATAGAAGAATAAAGTGAAGAACTTGAAATCAGAAAGACCTTTGTTCAAATCTCACCCTAAGCTCACTAGCCAAGAGAACCTGGACAGATCATTTAACCTCTCTGGACCTTAGTTTCCTCACCTGTAAAATGTGGTGACTGGACTCAGTAACCTCTAATCTATAATCCTACAATCTAATGAACAAGGCAAGCCTGAGTTTTTCTACTGTTTAAATATTTTCAGGATTTGACAGGAAAATAATTTTTATCATCTTCCATTTCTATGGCTCTCTATTTTAATGTCTGCAAAGAGCTTATCACATGTTATCTCATGTGAACATTGTAATAGCCCTGTGAGGTAGGCTGATTAGCATTATTATTATCTCTATTTTACATATTGGGAAATTCAGGCTCTTGGAGAGTAATTGAATCACCCACACTTCCAGGACCAAAAAATAGCAGAAGTGGGTGGGTGGGATTTGAACTCAACACCATGCTGATGCTGAATTGAGCACTCTAGTCACTATACTATGTCCCTTTCCAGTGAAGTTGATGGGACAAGTTTCACCAATAGAAGAGGAAACCTGATATGGTGATCAGGCATCTGGATTTGTGTTCTACGGCTACACTTTATACACTGTGTGAACTAGGGCAAGTTTCAGGCTCCCTGGGTCTTAATTTCTCTATTTGTACAGTGAAGGGGTTCCATCAGATGAGCGCAGAGTTCCTTTATTTCCATCTCTATACATATACCCTGCACAGGATTGGAGTGATCTATGGATAAAGACAATGTTCTGGGCCAGGTGTGGGGAACCTGCAGCCTCGAGGCTACCCCTGTCCTGGACTCGTGACTAAACAAAATGATCAGAGAGAGTCAGTTGCCTTTGTCATTGGCCCAAGAAGACCAATATGCTTGGTTATAGAGCAACAGACCCAGAGTCATGAAGATCTAAATTCAAACCTGGCCTCACACAACCTCTAGTTGTGTGACTTTGGGAAAATCACCCAACCTCTGTTTTCTTCAGTTTCTTATCTGTAAAATGAGGATAATAATAGCACCTATGTCCCAGGGTTATTGTGAAGACCAAACCAGATAATGATTGTACACTGTTTATTCTTCTTCAACATCAATAGAGGGAGATGTAGGAAGATTTAGCCTCCCACAATTCTAATTTGTTGCTTAGGCAGGTGTGGCACTCTTTCCACAGCAGATATAGTCTTAAAAATTATATAAAGATCAAATTTGTTAGAATACTAATTACAGATATAGTTGAAATATCTACTGCACTTTAAGGTTTGCAAGATGCTTTACATGCATTATCTTATTGGATCCTCCTACAGTCCCATAAAATAAGTGTTATTTTAATCCTTAGGTGCTATTATTATCCCCATTTTACTGAGAAGGAAACTGAGGCCCAGATAGCTTGTAGCTTGTTCAGGGTCAAGTAGGAAGTATTTAAGGCAGAATCCAAGCTCAGGACTTCTTGACTCTCAACCTGCTCCTACATCCATCATGCCACGTTGTTTAATATCCATTGGAGAATCTTGGTATTTAAAGGAAACTGGGAAGGTCGTAAATCAAAGAATCCTTTTGCACAGAGAAAATCTATACTGTGAAGAATTATTTCATAAGACCTTTCTTTGAATAATCATTTTCTAATATGAAAATATTCTCTCCATTTTAGCAGATTTTCATGCACCAAATTCTTTCAAAGTTGCCCCACTTACAATTTGCAAAGAAGACTTTTCATACTGACTTTATTCAATAAAGTGACTGGTTTCAGATGTATCTTTACCTTTTTAAGAGCCTAGTCTTCAAGATCATTACCTTATCAGTCCTTCCTAAAGAGGAATTATTCAGCATTTGGACAGAGGGACTCTGGAGGAATCCCTAATGGGCTGTGAGGGCACTCGAATTAAACCCCGAGGAACGGGATGACGGTATAAATTGAATTGATCAGTGAAAAATTAATGTTTTTTCTTTGTTCCTTTGTTCTTCCCATTCCAGGATGTGTTCTTGGCCATGCACCTGGACCAGGCTGTGGTGCAGAAATACCTAAAGCCCCTGCTGATTGGGGAACTGGCCCCTGGGGAACCCAATCAGGAAAAAAACAAGAATGTAAGTGGGGTCTCCACTCCAATGGGCAGTGAGGCTCTGGAAATTCTCCAGGAGCCACTTGTGTTTCAGGGAGTTCTTTGGGTCCCTCTGAATGAAACTGCTGCTGAACATTAATGAAAAACCCAGAGCTATCTATCAACAGGCAGAACAACCAGGATTTTGTCCCATTGTATTCTATGTTGAGGGAAATGAATATGAGACTTGAAAATCCTTGAAGGTAATAGCCACATTTATTCATCTATGCCTCCTGAGTACTCTGGATTCACACTCCAAGAGGGAAGTCAGCTACATCTTACCCTCAGGGATCCAGTCATATCCCTGAGGAGTCAGAATATCACTTTCCTAATGGTTTTGGTTCAGTCCCCATTCTGATGTGTTTTAACCCATTGCTAGCCACCAGTGATAAACACCTCAGTTCAATTTAACCAATCAATTAGCTTCAACAAATGCTGCATTTACTTTCCAGAGAGGGAGGGGGGGAAATGAGGAAAGAAGGAAGGGAGGGAGGTTATATTTGTACACTCTAATGTACTTTCACATACATCATCTCCCAACCCTGCAACTCACATAGATCATAATAATTGCCCTTGGACTGGAGCAAAAAGCATTGTATCATCATGTGTCTATGACTGCCTAGCTGGAGCATATCTAGAATACTATTTTCTAAGGAAAAGGAGGGATCACACATACTAAGTAGTAATCCTTCCAAAGTGAGTTTGTTCAACAATTGATCATAAGAGAAAGCATTTCACAGTGAATAGAAAGTTGGCCTCAGCATCAGGAGGTCCTCCCTCCAGAGCCTACTGGCTTTGAGACCTGAAATAAGTCACCTAAAGTCCCAATGCCCCTAAGAAACTCTCTATAGGGCAGCTAAGTGATTCAGTGAATAGAGGACCAGCCCAGGAATCAGGAGGACCTGAGTTCAAATCCAGCCTCAGATACTTAGTAGTTGTGTGACCCTGGACAAGTCACTTGACCTGAATTGCCTCAAAAATAAAAAAAAACCTGTCTAAGGTGGTGAATTGCAGGGCAAATGCTAATATTAATAGAACAAGTTGAGGGAGTTCCCTAAGAGCACATAGATTAAATCATAGATAAAATTTTCTTAAAAGATAATTATCATGAAAATAACATTTATATAGTTCCTTTGTCCAAGTCTATAATTACATTGGTATAGCAAATCTTTACCAGTACATATGGACCATGGCTCTGCTGGTATGAGTGTAGGAAATTGGGGTCTTGAAAGGTTAAGCAAATTTCCAAAGGTCATATAGTCAGTTTTGTGTCTTAAGAAGGACTGAAACCCTGTTTGTCCTGATCTGAGGCTAACTTTTAACCACTACACCTTATTGCCTACATACGTAGCTCTTTGCAGAGTACATTTACTTGTATCATCTCATCTCCTCACAAAAATACTGAGAGGTAAATTGTGCAAATATTATTGTCCTCTTCTTATAGATACTAAAATTACATCTCAGAAAGGCTGGGTAATTTGTCCAAGTTAAGGTCGCAGCTAGGAATAGGACCAAGTTACCAGACTCCTCACTCCACTAGCCGAAACACTGACAATCCTCAGGAGGAGAATTTGTCCTATTTCTGTATGGTTTGTCCTTCGTTCTTAGTTTTTTGTTTTTTTTTGGGGGGGGGGGCGTCGAGGCAATCGGTGTTAAGTGACTTGACCAGGCTCACACAGTTAGTGAGTATCATGTGTCTGAGGCCAGATTTGAACTCAAGTCCTCCTGACACCAGGGCCAGTGCTCTATCCACTGTGCTGTCTAGCTGCCCCGTCCTTCATTTTTGAAGAGGACTATGACATCAGGGAGATGATGACATGACTTGCAATTGACTTTGATTTGAGTGAGAGAGGGCTGTGCGAAGTCACCAGCCTCACTTTCTCCTCCAGAGCCATCAGGGTCCAGTGACCAGATAGCTGTCCAGATTAGGAAGACTGGAGACATCCCAGGGTGCAGTGGGAGACCTTGACCCTTTTAAGCTAAGTTCTTTCCAGGTCCTCACTTTGAGTGAGGCAATATCCACTCAGTGAACAGGCCTCTTTAAGAAGTGACTTAAGGGATGGCCCCTTTAATAATAATAAAAAAAAGTTAAACTGGGAGGGGAAGACCCTCCGGTCTGGGCCAAAATTTGAATGGTGACCCAGCTGGCCAGTTCCACTTGGGCAACTCAGCTCATCCTCTCCTCTCCCCTCCTTTCCTTTGTTTTCCCCTTACCTGAGGGTGTTCTGCCCAAAGGAGGGTAAATTTTGATGGCCAAAAGCTATCTAGTTAACTTGGGATTTACTGGCTAGATATCTTTCTCAGAGACCAGTCCTTAAACCCAATTCACTCTGGATCTTATGGATTGGACAACAATAGGTCTCTGCCTAAGCACCGCTTAATGATTATTTTTTGGGCCCTTCTGGTTCAGAGTGAATGTAAATAGTCCTATTTCTAGAGATGTCTTAAAGTCAATCAAACAATCAAAACTATGTGTTTATTAAGCAGCTACACCATGGCAGGCCTTGTGCTAAGCACTAAGAATGCAAAGAAAAAAAAAACAGCCCGTGTTCCTCAAGGGTTGGCCTAAATGGCTTCTTTTTAAAAACTAAGCAAATATTTTTGATTAATCTCCTCTACTCCCTATCCCTCCAAATTGAACAAGTTAAAAGGAAAGAAAAACAAATCCCTTAATACATCCTTAATATGGACAAATTTCTACATTGGGCATGTCCAAGTTGTATGCTTTTGTTAATGTGAATTTTGCCTATCACCTTCCTGTCAGGAAATGAATGGTATGTTCTATCTCCATTCTTTTGAACTCACAGTTTATCATTACAATGGTAAGAGTTCAAAAGTCTTTTCAAGTTTTTCTCCATGATGTTTTTATCATTACATAAATTGTATTCCTAGTTCTGCTCACTTTACTTTGCATCAGTTCATAAAATTCTTCTGAGCTGCTTCTGAAATTGTCCATTTCATCATTTCTTATGATACTATACTATCCCATTACATTCTTGTACCACAATTTTTTGCTATCATGAAAAGAGTTGCTATAAATATTTTTGTGCATACAGATCCTTTTCCTCTTTGATTTCTTTATGATATAGGTCTTACAGTGGTGTAGCTAGGTCAGAGGATGCACAGTTTGGTAACTTTATAGACATAGTTCCAAATTGCTTTCCAGAATGGCTGAACCAATTTATAGTTCCAATTTATAGATCCAGTGTGCTAGTATGCCTATTTTCCCGCAGCCTCTCCAACATTTGTCATTTTCCTCTTTTATAATCTTTGACTGTCCAATAGGCATGAGGTGGAACCTCAGAGTTGTTCTAAGTTGGGTTTCCCTTGTTAGTAGTGAGATAGAGCATTTTTGCAAAAGTTGTTGATAGCTTGAATTTTTCAGTTCCCACCATCACCACCACCACCACCACCAAACATGCCACAGAAAATTAAAAGGTAGAAGATGCTTTACTAAATGTGTGACAATGAGCAAATCAGTCCATCTCTCGATTTGCTCATCTGTAAAATGAGATAATTAATACTTGAATTCACTCCAGCCCCAGACTTCACATATTAAAAATGCCCTCTGTCCCTGTGTCCTCTCCCTCTGATTGGCTGGTCCCTCCAAGAAAATCTATATTAAGAAGTATGACTAAGACACCCATGTCTTCATCCGCTCCTGACTAACTCTCTTCTCCTCCCAAACTTTTTCTAAAATGTGTTTGCATACAGTACCTTCCTCTCCCCCCACACCTTTCCAGCTTCCTTTCATGTGTTGCCTTCCCTTCTTAAAATAAGATGCTCAGAGGAATGGACTTTCTCTCTGCCTGTATTTCTATACTTGGTACTTAATTCAATGACTGTTTAAGATGGAAGGTTTTGGGTTTGTTTTCTTTTTTTCCCCAAGTATAGCTTAGGCCAGCTGGGCACTGACAGTCGTTGCAACTCTAAAATTCTTTGATCCTGTATCTCCCAGAACAAGTGGTTCTATGCTTTTTTATCCCATGGATACACAGTACTTGGCACCTGGTACGTGCTTAATGACTATAGAAGCTCAGGAAAGATTTTCTGAATTGAAGAGAATCAGATGAAGGATACCAATGAAGTAAAGAGCCGTTCTGACTCCCTCTCACCCATTTTCCCCTTTCAGCCCCAGCTGGTGGAAGATTTCAGGGCCCTGAGGAAGACAATTGAGGATCAGAGATTGCTGGAGCCCAGTCTCCCCTTTTTCTTCACACATCTCATCCAGATTCTATTTTTGGAAGCTTTGGTTTGGTTCATACTAAGAAGCTTTGGCAATGGTTGGCTCGTTACAGTGTTTATTTCTTTTCTGCTCACAGTTTCCCAGGTAAGAAGTTTCCTGAAAAATCTGATCCTTGGGCAGAAGGTATAGCAACCCTTTTCCTTGCTTAGGCCAAGGCCTTCTTCATTCATTAGCCACCAGATATATGCAATGCCCCCAATTGAATCCACTGAACCTTTCATAACCTCAGACTTTCTCCCCTGCAGTCTTGTCTCTCAGTCATGCCGAGGTAGGGTTCCTCTGTTCTTTGCCCTTATCACATTCTAGCTTTTGTTATATACTTTTATATATACCCCATGCCCTCTTTATGCCTTCTTTAGTATGTCAAGTAAGCTATTTGAAGACAACGCTGTTGTCTCATTTTTCTTTCCCAAGCACTAAGCACACAGCCTTGAAAAAAAAAAAGTAGGTAGACAATAGATGTTTATTAAACCGAGTTGAATTGCACAGAATCTCTTTTAGAACCATCTTGAAATTCAGAATTGTCTCCAAGATCATTAGGGCAACTAGTTAGTGCACTGGCCTGGAGTCAGGAAGACTCACCTTCCTGAGTTCAAATCTGGCCTCAGACACTTACTAGCTATGTGACTCTGGGCAAGTCACTTAACCCTGTTTGCCTCGGTTTCTTCATCTGTAAATGAGCTGGAGAAGGCAATGGCAAACCACCTCAGTGTCTTTGCCAAGAAAACCCCAAATGGGGTCACAAAGAGTCAGACACAACTAAAAATGACTAAACAACAACAGTTCATGAATTCAGCATGCTGTAAAGGAAGGAATATTGGATTGGAGTCAGAGAACTGAGGCTCTAATCCTGGCTCTATTTACTCTGTGACCTTGTGCATGGCATGTTCCCTCTCTGTGCCTTAGTTTCTTCATGTGAGAAATTAGAGGGTTGAACTTCATGACCTCCAAGGCCTCTTAGTCCTAAATGATCTGATAATATAATGGTAATATAACTACTCCACCAATGCAGATGACAATTCCTTTGTCATTTAGAAAATAATGTCTGAGGCCCCCAAATTTGTCATCCTATGGCCAGCCTTACAATGGGTTCCTCCAAACTCAGTAATTCTGGTCCTTCGACAACAGATAGCAAGCCAGCAACGGTCTGCCACTGAGCCCAGATGCCAAGCTTCCTCAGCTCTGCTTTCAGCCTCACCACAATTCTAGCTTATTCTTGTACCTTAGGCTCAAGCTTCATTTCTGCAGCATGACACAGGACATCTCTCCATATTTAAGAAATCCAAGTGGAATCATCTCATGCATTACTTCGTGATGGGGCATCTGAAGGTACAGACAATTCAGAGGAGGTCCATATGCATTCCTTTAACCCTTCTGAACTGGGAAGGAAGAAGGGGTTCTCAGAACACTTGACATGGTGAATGGGAAACCCCAGCCCTAAAGTCATGCATGTCTAAAAGATAGTTACTGCATTCCTATTCATTCCTACTTAATACAAAGTTCTAAACAGGCTTGGTTATTTTTCTGAGTCATTATAGAAAGAATGGAAAAATCAAAGTATTAAATTTAAATTTAAATTAAATTAAATTTAAATACCTACTACTAACACCTTATATTTATAGAGAGCTTTGCACAATATAGCCCTATGAGGTGAATAGTATAAATATCACCTCCATTTAAGAGATGAGAAAACTGTGACCCAGAGAGATGAAGTGATATATTGCACCTTTATAATGAATTTTGTTGATTCTCATTGCCAGCTGCTTTGAAACATCCAAATAGTCCCCCAGTATCAACAGGCCCAATAGTCTCTCCCAATGAATACATTGTGATGTAAAAGAAAGAGCACTCTGGGATATCCTCACAACTGTTCTGTGAAAGGGCAGTTTAAGTGAAAGAGTCTTGAATTTAGAGTCTGAAGACCTAGCTTTGACTCCTGGCTTGTTTTCTGTGTGACCATGAGCAAGCACCTTTGAAGTCAGTTTCCTCATCTGTCAAATGACATCCTACTACATGGCTCTTCCTATTTCAGGAGGTCAGTATGGGAAAATCTCTCCATACTCCTTACGACTCTACATAAATGTAAATTACTGTCCTTAAGTATCATTTTTCCCACTTGACAAACTACGAAGCAGCATCAGTGAATTTAAGCATCCAGCAACCCTGAAGAGCCCAGTAGTTTCGGACTTGTGAGACCTGGGCTCTGGCTTACTGTGTGATCATTCACAAATCATTAACCTCTGTGAGCCTCAGTTTCCTCATCTGTAAAATGGGTGTGTTAATACTAGTTCTTTCCAACTGAGGAAAGTTCTTTGTAAAATGAACTAATGGTAGAGTGGAAATAGCAAAAAATTTGGTTCAAATCCTGCCTTTCACTTACTATGCATTCAAGTACTGCCCGTAATACCAGCTGTATGACCCCTGGGCGAGTCATTTAATTGTTCTCAACCTGAGTTTCCTCATCTATAAAATGGGGATAATAATAGTGCTACCTCTCAGGGTTATTGTGAAGATTAAATGAGATAATAATTGCAAAGCACTTTACAAACCTTAAAATGCTACCTAAATGCTAGCTATTATTATTAGTCATCATCATTATCACCTCTCTAGGACTCAGATTCCCCACACACGAAATGAAGCAGTTAAACTTCATGACCTCTGTGGTCCCTGCTAGCTCCAAAACAAAACATCTAAATCGAAGCCGAGACTTGCCCTCCATGACATGGACAGTAAATGTCAACAATGGACATGAAATCCATATCTTCTGATGGAGATCACAACATCATGCCCATTTTGCAGATGAGGAAGTGAGAGGTTATAAATTGTGCAGGTTCACTCAACTACTATGTAGCAGATCCAGGTCCCTTGCCTTAGAGGCACTGCAAGGATTCTCATTAACCACCACCCATACTCTATATTTGCCAGGGACTTTATTCTCATTATCTTATGCTATACACACAACAGCTCTGTGATACAGACAGAGAAAGGATCATGATTCCCATTTTACAGATGGAGAAATTAAGTACCCATTAGTGAAATAATCTGCCAGAATTGTTGATATCAAGTCACATTCTCTCCCTTGTTCCTCTTTAAGGACATCCCAAGTGACATATGTGTGCCAGGGAGTAAACAGGTCTTGGTATCAACTTGTTTCGAAATTATCTGATAGTTCCCCATGGCTATTTCCCACACTGCTTTCATAATAACCAGTTGGAGATAGTCTTCTGTTCCAGAGATGTTTGACAGGTCATCTAGAGAAGTTGCTGGAGAGAAATAAGGACTTAAAACTAGAGCTGAAAACTTCTCTCCTTGCTTACCCCACCTTACCGTGTCTTTGGAGCTTTGTAAGATCTTAGCAATATGTCAGGAGACACAGACTGACTGACTAATTGTTCACCAAAGGTGGGCATTGGCCACAAGATGGAACCATGGAAATGCTGAATCCCGGATCACGAGATCAGAGTCAGAGTTGAAAGGGTCGTTTCCACCCCTAACCCCAACCCCATTCTACAGATGAGGAGAATGAGGCCCAGAGAAATAAAGTGATTTGCCCACAGTCACATAAGTAGCCGACAGCTGACACAAGATTGGAAGCCAGGTCCTTTGCCTCCAAAGTTAATAATCTGTCCACTACACAGTGCTAGGAGATGGCATTAAAGAGTTCAAAAGCTCTTAGTCCTCTGGACCAGGAGTCAAGAGTCCCAGCTAGGGAGCTGTGCATTTTTGGGCAAGTTACATGAATTCTCTGAGCTTCATTTTCATCAACTCACTATCAAATGAGAGGTTTGAAACATACCTTCTCAGATCCCTTCCAGCTACAACACTGTTGTCTAAGATCAATCACAGTCTGAAAAATTTACAAATCTATAGTCCACCATTTACCTAGTTCATCTTTAACTAGAGTCATTATTAGGAAAGTCTCCCAGCAAGACAACAAAGTAGGGCTTTAGCAGCATCTTCTAAGGAGGAAGCAACATGAGGGCAAAGAAAACCATTGTAAGACCAGGGAAAGGGACATGATGCAAGCTTGCCCAGACTGTAGACTTTCTTACCCTGGGGAAGTTTCCAAACAGCATGCTTACTCATTGATGAATGACGGTGCTATTGGTTTTCCAAAAACCAAGAACTGGCCCAAGAAAGCTTTGAGGTCTCTTCAGCTCCATGTAAAGAAGGAAGACGCATAGTGAAAAGACCATTGGAGTGGGAAATGTAGTTGGAAGGTCAAGGCAGGAGTCCGAGAGCTGCCACTAATTAGCTGCCTGACTCTGGGCGAATGGATTCCCTGGCTGGGGCTCGGTTTCCTTCTTATTCAAATTAGGAGGGTTGGGCTAGACCAGGAATTCTTAATCTTTTCATTACATAAACTTCTTTAATAATCTGATGAATTTTATGGACACTTTCTCAGAATGAGCTATCTAAAGGTTTAAAAGTATATAGGATTACAAAGGAAACCAATTACATTAAAATATAATTATTAAAATATATATTTTCTAAAGTTCATGGACCCCATGTTAAGAATTCCTAGGCTAGGTGAGCTCTATGGGCCCCTTCCTGCCCAAGCATTTTAAGATGCCACAATTTTCCAACACATTCCTGCTGGAACAAAATACCTGGGTACTGCTCTGTCATTGCCACTAACTAACTTCTGTGAGTCTCAGTTTCCCCATGTATCCATAGAGACATAGTAATAACTGCCCTATCTAGCTCCCAGTACTGTAGAAGTTAGATAAGCCACTTCTGAGAAAGTTGTTCTACACATGAGGGAGTGTTACATTAGCCTGAAGTCACATACCCAGATAACTATCACTTGTTATATAACAATGGATATGTAACATTGCCCCTCCCAATTTATTATTTGGGCATTTCAGCAGATTAGGGTTTGAGAGGCACATGTCCTTTTGACCAAGCAGAGATGAATGGAGGTTTCTAATGGCAGATCATAGTTATATATAAGAATATTTATTGGATGGGATGGAAAAGGAAGGGTAGGGAAGGAAAAATAAAGGGAGGGAAGGGAAGCAAAGGGAAGGGGAAGGAAGGGATAGAATGGGATGAGATTAAACTGTATTCCATCCTGAATTCAACCAAAATTTTCCTGTTGCTGAATGTTCTTTCCTTCTAAGGGCATGTCAGCAAAGTGGTGGAATTATCGTCACTTCCAGCATCACGCAAAGCCCAATATCTATCCCAAAGACCCAGATATTGACATGGGACCACTTTTTGTGCTTGGGGAGTCACAACCAGTCAAGGTATGTTTAGAGTGTGTAGTATACTGGCATATAGAAATTCAAAGACATACTTGAAAGAGCTGCAGATATCCTAAAAGAAGGCCCTGGACTATCAGACTTTCAAAGAATTTGAAGAAAACAGCCCCCTCCTTATACCATATCGAAGACACACATGCATGCTAATTAAATCATGTCATTTCACATTTGGGGCAGCTAGGTGGCACTATGGATAGAATGCTGGGCCTGGGATCAGGAAGACCTAAGTTCAAATCCAGCCTCAGAGACTTAATAGCTGTGTGACCCTGGTCGAGTCACTTAACCCTGTTTGTCTCAGTTTCCTCATCTGTAAAAAATAAAATGAGCTAGAGAAAGAAATGGCAAACCACTTTAGTACCTCTGCCAAGAAAACCCCAAATGGGATCACAAAGAATCAGACACAACTCAAACAAGTGAACAACAATTCACATTTTATTTGAGTACTCAAGAAATTTCAGTGGTGCATGTATGAAATACAAGTTTGTTTGAAATTTAAAACCTTTCATAATCTGACTTTAAACAAATTTTCAGACTGGCTTCACTTTGTTCCGCTTCACGTACTCCATGTTCTAGCAGAACCAGACTACTTATTCTTATGTATACATTCTATTCTGTCATACCTGCCTTCACACCTTTGCATAGGCTGTCTCTTTTTTTCCAAAATACTATCCCTCCTCACCTTCACCTGTTGGAATCCCTATCTCCCTTCAAGGCTCAGTTCAAGTGAATTCTCTCTCGGTTGTCAATGTTTTCCTAGACCACCGCCAAATTAACTTGTATTTACTTTATCCATTTGCATACTGTTTGCCCTTCATAGAATGTCATGTTTTTGTAGAATGCAGAAACTGGTTTACTTCTCCCTTTATCACCCTCGATTAGGGCCTTACATATTGCAGGCACTGAATAAATGCTTATTGGATCACTTTATGCATCTGTTCACTCAAAAAAGTTCACTACGCACTTACTATATACTAAGCCCTGAACTTGACCCTGTGAGATGTACAGTGTTTAGAAAAGATGGGGTGCCTGCCTTCAGGGACCTCACAGAATAATAAGAATATCATAGAAGATAGGGACATTGCAAAGTAAAAAGCAAGTTATGTTTAGTGTCAAAGGATCCAAGTTTAAATCTGGGCTCCAATGCTTATTATTTGATCTTAAGTAAAGCACTTCATGTGTCTGGGCCTCTACGTCCTCATCTAAAATGAAAGACTTCTAATATCCCAAGTTCTATGGTCTCTCCAGTTTCTGATATTTTATATTCTAAATACTTTCTAGCTCTGACACTTTATGGTCTAAGTTCCTTCTAGCTCTCATATTTTGTGTTTCAATGTCCCCCTTTCAGATATAACGTTCTATGTCCCATATTTTACATTCCAAAGTTGCCTCCTAAGTCTGCATGACCACTGAGTTCCCTCCCAGCTCCAACTCGATGATCCTATAATTCAAGTGGGAAAGGGCGTTAAAGGTTACCCAATACGATATCCCCACCCAATTCAAGAATCTCTTCTATAACAATCCCAACAAGATCAGCTATTCTCTGTTTAAACATTTCCAGGGTTCATTGCTATGCTAGGAAGCCCTTTCCCTTGTCAAACTCAAGGACTACTTGATCCAGGGTTAGTAAGGGTTGTAAGAAGTTTAATGACCACACCAATATTAGATTCATTCAGGGAAGACAGAGGTCTTGGAACTGGCACTGCCTACCAAAGGATCTGACATCATTGCCAATTCTTGTTTCCCTATATAGAACAGAGATGCATTTTCCACTATTCATGATTTTCAAGTTCTTGTGCTTTCATTGTATAATGCCAATTCAAGGATAAACTTGGTCATAAAGATTCTTTTTTTCTTATTGGTTTTGACTGGTCTAAATATCACCTCTCTGGGCCTCACATCTTTGACATAAATGTAAGCATGAAAAGGTTGGCTTAGAATGATCTATAAGACATCTTCAGCCTCTAACTTTCCACATGCTAGATTCTAAGGCTCCTGCTAGTTCTGAATTTCTATGTCCTAATGTCTCTTCCATCTCTGGCATTTTGTCTTCTAATGCCCTGCGTGTCTGACATTCTATGTTCTATATTTTATTTTCCATAGATGCTTCCAGGTCACCCTCTTATATTTTAAGTTCCTTCCATTTCCAATATGTTGTGTTCTCGTACCCGGGCAGCTCTAGCATTTTATGGTCTATGTTTTATTTTCCAAAGTCCATCTCAGGTCTCACTTTCTATGAACATTTTATGGTCTTTTCTGGCTCTGACATTCTGTATACTAAGGTTTCTCCTAGCTTAAACATTCAATGTTCTAAGATTTCTCCAGCTGTCATATTCTACTCTCTGGATTTCTAGATTTTTTTTTCTGCCTCTGACATCCCATGGTTTCATGGCCCGAAGTAAGAACACAGAAATTCCATCTTTAAGTCAGTCTTTTTATGGACATTAGCAAGTATTAAAAAAAAAAGTTACCTCTGAAGAATTTGGACACATTTTATTGAGTTGACCTAAAATCTCATCATGAACAGTTTTGCTTGACTTGAAAACTTAATGACCACTTATCTTCAATGAAACCAAGACACAGCTGATCTCAAAGGACTACACACCCTCCCCTGAGATGGAGGGCTGGGCACCCAGGTGTAGCTACTAAGTTAAGATTGCTCTCTTCCGCAGAAAGCAAACAAGAAAAGTCCCCATCCAAATTTAAAAAGAAAAGGGAGGGGGTTGAATCAGAGGATGCCTGCTCATTGAAATTCAAAGGCAAAAGTTTGACTCTTTTATCAAAACAGGTTTTTCTGGCTGTGGAAAACACTTTTACTGGCCTCCTGCCAAATTACTGTTCACCTACTGAGATCACCTGTTGGTATCATAATTCAGAACCTTGGCTCTTGGTTTAAAGGGCAGGGATGTATTCTGAGACAAGTAGTGGGCTGATTGTTTCAGTCACTGGTTATTAAATGTTTGAACCTTTGTGAATGCTTTACAATTCCTCTGTGTTCAATATTCTAAGGGCTCTTCTAGCTGCCACAGTGGGACATTCTATATTGTAAATTCTTTTCCGACTCCAAAATTCTTTGCTCTATGTTTCAACATTCCATATCCATAATGGCTGCCTTCAAGTGTTTGAAGGACTATTATGCTAAAGAAAGATTTAACTATTCTGCTTGGCCCCAGGGAAAGAATTAAGAACAAAATGTTGAATATAGTAGCATGAGGAGAGGATGTTGGGTTTTGAATCAGTAGAGTAGGGTTTAAATCTGGACCCTACACTTAACTTCCTGTGAGAGCCTGGACCATTCATAGGTTCTCTGGGACTGAGCTTCCTTGTCTATAAAATGAAGTCAAACTAGACAATTTCAAGATGCCTTCTAGTTCTGAACAGTATGTGACAGAGATGAATTTAGGGAGACTGGAAGGAATGATTTCATGACAACTAGAGTCATGCAAAATCAAAGTGAATTCCCATGGGGAACAATAGACTGCCTTCACTAGAAGACCTCAAAAAAAAATTCTAAATGGCCACTTGTCAGGTGTGGAGGGGAATTCTTGCTCAGATACCAATTAGACTAAATGACCTCTTTAGTACTCTGTAGTGCTAAGATTCTGTGATTCTGTCTGTCCTGTGTTCCCTTCCACTTCTAAATTTATCTTTTCCTATATTTTAATGATCCTTTTCCATCTTTTAAAAATATTTTTTTAATCTGTCAAGATATGCCTTCTCATCCTCCCATCCAAACTCCTTCCCCTAATTGAGTATTTGAGAAAAATGAAACCCATCACAAGCATGTATAGTAAATCAAGACACATTGACCATGACAGATATGTGTATATACATACACATACATGCATACACACATACATATACGTATTTTCTTCTCCAGGTCATTTTACAGATGAGAAAACTGAGGCAAACAGGGTCAAGTGACTTGCCCAGGGTCACACAGTTAGCATCTGAGGGTGGATTTGAACTCAGGAAGACGAGTCTTTTTGACTCCAGGCCTGACACTCTATCCACTGTACTGTCTAACTGTCCCTTTCCTTTAGAGAAGGGGTTACTAAATTGTACAACCTTGACTTTAGCTCTTCTGTACTTGACTTATGGCTTCTGAACTTCCTCCTTTCTTGGCACATTGCCCAGGGCCCCCCTACCCAGGAACTCCACTTCTTACTCTGTCCTAGATCAATGACTTGGGCCTGGGTAGTGGGAGACAAAGCTGCCAGTTTATACCTGTGCCCATAGCAGTGCACCTGTATGGGTCTGATGGAGTTCTGGAACTAGCAGTGAAGGGCTCAGAGGGCCCATTCCCAACCTAACTCGTCCTCTATGTCCACAGACCTCCCTGTCTGCCTCCCTCTGCTGACCTGGATGGGACAAGTGACTCACTCTGATATTTTCAGGATCTCCCTATCAGTTTCCAGTCTGATGAATTTTCTAGATTGGTTTGGAGGAGTTTGTAGATTAAAGCTCACCACATGGCTTCCTTTCACTCCATGATCTTGGTTCTGCCTCTGATCCATTAACTTTTAACATCGTCCTGTGTTCTTAGGACCCTTCTCCTACTAACACTGTGATTTATGGTCCCTTCTGCAGCCTGTGTTCTGATGTCACTTCTAACACCAAAATTCTAAAATTTTCTGATTCTGGGTTTTACTGGAAGAGCCCAAGATTGACATGGATTTGGTGAAAATAAAATTATAGTTTCTCCTCTTTCCTTCTCTCCCCAAGAGTTAAATCGCTCTTCCAGTTGCTCAGTCTTTAGATCTCTCATCAAAATTGTCCAGGTGGCTCTTTTCTCAGAGAAGATAAGAAGCTATAATTGTGAAGAGGCATGGGCAAGGCAGGGAAGGGGGAAGACTGTGGGGTAATGAAAAGGTGGTGAAATTGAAGTCAAGATTAGAATGCTACCTCCCATACTTACTAGCTTTATGATGCTGGACAAATCACTTCATGAAGCTGGATTCCTATTTCCTCATCTGTAAAAAAGGGATGGCAAGACTTTTGTGATCTCCTTCGAATGGATGAGAGGAGAGTATTCTATAAACACTGAAGTGCTTATAAATGTGAGCTCTTGTTGAAAGAGAGGAGGCATAATAGATAAAGTGCTTAATCTGGTCAGGAAGATGAGTCCAAATACAGCTTCAGACACTTAAAAGCTCTGTGACTCTGGTCATGTCACTTAACCCATCTTCCTCAGTTTCCTTATCTGTAAAAAGGGGATAATATTAGCACCTACCTCATAGGATTGTTGTAAGAAACTAATGAGATTACATTTGTATAGCGGTTGGCAAACCTCAAATGCTAGTTGTTTTCATCATTGTTGTTATTATTACTAATACCATCATCATCTGGTCCAACCCTCTATTTTACACTTATCACCCCATGAGAAAATCGGGGCTCAGAGAGGTTAAATAACTTATCCAACAGTAAATGGGGGTAAGTGCCTGAACCAGAATTTGTACTCAGGTCACTGCCTCCAAAGCCAACATAAACATTCCCTACACTGCATACTAACTCTTCACTATATAGCACATTGTAATAGCAGGAGTAATTTGTATTTCTGCTTGTTTTTTTTTTTTCTCCATCCAGTATGGCAAGAAAAAAATCAAGTATATTGATTATGAAAAGCAGCACCTATACTTCTATGTAGGTGAGTTTACGTAACGTCCTATGTTCTGAGTTCAAATGGTACCTCCTACCTCTAGCATTTGTTCTGCATTCTACAGACCTCCCTAGTTGTGAAATTTTATGTTTTAAGATCCCTTCCACCTCTAATAGTCTATGCCCTAAGGCCCCTCCCAGTTTGAATATTCTAAGTTCTAGGATCTTTCCCCCTTTAACATTCTAATTCTATAGTTTATGTTCTAAGGCTGCTTCACCTCTGACATTCTGTCTTGTATTCCAACGGTCCCATTGTTCTAACATTGTATGTTCTGAGGCCCTTCCAACTTTGACATCCTACGATCCCACGAATACTCATTTTAGAATAGCCATTTTCTAGAAACTACTGCCACTTTCTGAATATCACCAGCTCAGCCAGTAACCAAGGCATGGGGTGCCCAATGAAAGTGTCGGATGCCCCCTTATCTCTATCTTCACTGTACTAGCACCTCCTCATCTTACTCAACACCTTCTTTCCCCTTACAGTTGGGCTTCCCCTCCTCATGCCAGTCTATTTCAATATGCAATCCATGCGAGTGACGTTCCTTCGGAAGGAATGGAGGGTGAGTGATGACCTTCCTGTTACAGATTCTGCCCTTAGAGCCAAGGCCAGTAGAGGGTACAGACCCCCAACCCAAGTTTCCTTGGTGACAGAGGCAGAAAACACTTATCTTGCAAAGGGATGTGGCCAGATCTAGGGTGGGGGCTGATGGCTCACTCAGTAGAGAATGAGACTTTTCATCTGAAGGTCCGAAGTTCCCTGTTCTGGTGGAAATCTGACTTCTTGAGGAAGCTAGGTGGCACAGTGGATAAAGTGCTAGGCTTGGAATCAGGAGGAAGACTGAGGTTTAAACCCTATCCCAAATACCTATTAGCTGTGTGACATATAGCTGCTCTCAGCCAGAATCCCATTATCTGCCAAATGAGTGGGTCGGACTTCATGGTCTCCAAGGCCCTTCTGGCCCTAAATTTATGACTGCACATAACCTCAACGCCATTCAACTTGAATTCATTTTTCTCTTTTAGGAGCTTGCCTGGATCAGTAGTTTCTATATCCGCTATTTCATCACCTACAGATCTTACTATGGAATCATTGGGACTGTCCTTCTCATATATCTGGTCAAGTGAGTGAATCAAGGAATTTCATTACTCCTCTCTCCCAGGGAATCCTTGACATGGGGTCTGGAAACTTGGTTTTGTTTTTTGTTTGTTTCAAATAGAGACAGTTAGGCAGGGCCTAGAGTGCTGCACTTGGTGTCAGGAAGGCCAGATTTTAAATCTGGCCTCAGCCCCTTACGAGCTATGTGACCCTGAGCAAGTCATTTGACTTTTCAGCCTCAGTTTCCTTATCTGTAAAATGGGGGTAATAATCAGACCTACTCCTATAGTTATTGTGAAGATCAAAGGAGATAACATATGTAAAGTGCTTTGCAACACTTAAAGTGCCATATTAATGCTATCTGTTATTGTTATTTTGATAAATGTGTATTTATAAAATTGTATTTGAATAAAATTGGTTTCCCATGTCCTATGTATTTATTTTTATGCATTTAAATGCATTATTCTGAGAAAGGGGCCATAGGCTTTCTCAGACTGATAAAGGCGCCCATGACACAAATAAGACCAACAAAACCCTGCTCTAGACCAAACCGCCAGCTCCTTTATCCTCCAGTTAGGGCTACAGGGATCCCAGCAAAGCCCACGGTGACTCCTCCAGGCACACACATGTCCCAGAGGTTACCTAGGAATTGTGTTATCTCAGGCCTTAAAAATAGACACTGAAATTGCTGGGTTTGTCTAATATTTCTGCTATTGCACTTGTGGAGTGCGCTCCAATTCAACCCCACACTGAACAAGCTACCCCTCTTCCCTCTGTTCCCATGCTTTATTTTATCTGCAAGTCAGCAAAGACTAGTTTGTGAAATGGTTTAAACAGACCTAAGTGTACAGATTGCCTTTCCGCCGACTCTCAATGTTCTCCCTCCTCTCCTTGATTTCCTGGCTTCCTTTAAGACTCATCAATTTCTGCCTTTGGCAAGAAGCCTTTCCCAATACCCCTTCTGCTAGTGCCTTCCCACTGAGATTACCTTCACCTGCCCTGGTTGTGTCTCACATGTACATAGTTATTTGAATGTTGTCTCTACCACTAGAACATGAGTTCTTTGAGGATGGAGACCATGTTTTTTGTTTTTTTCTTATATCTCCAGCATAGGAACAGTGTACATAGTATTACACTGAGATAAAATTACATATGGTAAACACTTAATAAATGCTTGTTGACTGACAGATTGAGATGTCCAGTGAGAACTATAGAATGGTGGGACTTCGTTGAGCCAAATCAAAAAACTAAAAATGGCACAAGCGTTTTCCACCACCTCATTTCACAGCTGAGGAAACTGAGGCACAGAGAGGGACAGTGACTTCCCTAAAAGCAGGAAGTTAGAATGACAGCATTGAGGAATGAACCCACTTCTTGAGACCACCAGTTCTTTGAAGAAATGACTATAGCTCCTTTCCATAGGGACTATTTGTGCCTGATCTGTGGTAGAGCCTTCTGAACTCCATATTGATTTGATCAGCCACAGGCAGACACGCTATACCTTGACCCCAACGCAGTGATGTCACTTTCTTCCTCTTTGAGAATGGACCACAATCATAGCCACTCTAACCTGGAAAGGGAATAGATTGGATTTAATGATCTCTAGGGAGCCTTTCCAGCTCAAGAAAAGTTGTGTTTTATGTTCTAATATCACTTACAACCTGGATATTTTATGTTCTATGTTGTAAACTTCCTTCCAACTTTAACATCTCATCTTCTGTTCAGAGTTTCTTCCAGTTTCAACATTCTGTGTTCTGAAGTCGTGCTATCTTTGAATCAAATTCCTCTACGAAATGACTTCAAATCATGGAATTTCCTACATCTTTAATATTATTGAATGTTACTCCATACATTCTGCTCCATACATCAGGAAAATAAAACCAGGGTTTTAGAGGCATCATGATGTGGCAGGGAAAATGCTAGACAAGACATCAGAAAACCTAGGTTCTAATCCTGGCTCTGTCATTTACTATGTGACCTCTCTGAGTCTCAGTTTCTTTTGTTTCTGAAATGGAGCTATTAATACTTACACTGCCTACCTCATGTACCTGCTAAGATGGGAATGTTTTGAAAGCCCTTGAATTGTTTGGAGGAAGATGGATAATCATTAGTCCAAGTACATGGGGCATTATCCTACATGTCTTGAGGTCCATAGGATCATAGGACTTAGAAGGGATCTCAGAGATCATGTGTTTGGCCCTATTATCTTAAAAAAAAAGAGGTAATTGAGGCACAGAGAAGGGGAAGGGACTTGCCCCAGGTCACACAGATGTAATAGGCATCTGGGTAGGAGCAGAGCTTACACACTATATAGCCGTCTCTGAAAGGGAAAGACAGCACAGTACCTCTTAGGAGGGTAGACAAGTTCGGCAGAAACCATTGTTCAGTAACTTCTCTCCAGTCTTATTCCTGGTTTTTCCCCTTCACATTCCACCTGTCAAATTGCGTAGTACACACATTGCCTTTCACATGGTGGTCATTTAGTAAGTATTGTTAATGAATAGGAAGCAAACCTATGTTCTACATGGAAATGACCAACTGTCTCATTGCCTGTCTTGATGCTTTCTCCAAAGGCTGCTGGAAAGCCCCTGGATTGCTTTAGTCACCCAGATGAGCCACATTCCAATGAGGATGAGCAAAGAAGAGAACCAGGACTGGTTTAGCACACAGGTAATGGTGGTCACCTCCTCCCAGACTAACCACTCAATCATTAGAGTTCATGAATGTGAGGCATGGTGTCCTGTCAAGTGGGTCAAAGACATACTGAGAATGATAGACTATCAGTCTTGGGAGGGACCTGAGAACATGGAATAATAGAAATGGAAGGGTCGTTAGTGCGGAGAATGTCAGTTAGGAGGGACCTAAGAGTCTGGATTGTGGGGGTTAGTAGAGACTGTGGGGTATAGAATGTCAGAGCTGAAAGGGACTTGTGGGCATAGAGTGTTTAATGTGTGATGTGGAGGCTCTTGGGAGCACAACTGTTAGAGGAAAGAGGGACCTTAGAACAAAGAGCATAGAATGTCAGGGTTCAGAGAAACCTTAGGAAATAGATTGTCAAAACTGGAAGGGACTTGAGAGCTTAGAATATAGGATGTGAGTTTTGAAAAATCTTGTGAGTGTTGACTATGCGGGTGGGGCTATTTTAGAATATAGAACACAGAATAGAAACCTTAGAACATAGAAGGGAGGGAGGGAAAAAAGTAGGAAGACAAGAAGGAAGGAAGGAAGGAAGGAAAAAGGAAGGGAAGAGAAGGGAAAGGAGGAAGAGAGGAGTGGAGGAATGGAGGAAGGAATGGAGAAATGGAGGAAGGAATGGAGAAATGGAGGAAGGAGGGAAAGGAGAAAGGAAAGAGAGAAAGGGTATGAGAAAAGGAAAGAAACATTTATTAAGAGATTATTTTGTTCCAGGCACTCAGATAAGCAGTAGGGATACAAATATAAGAACAAGAAATACAGACTCTACTCTCAAAAAGCTTATATTCTAATGAAGGAAGAAAACTCACAAGGGAAGGTTGGTGGGAGGGAGGGGAAAGTACCCAATCGATGCATAGTTCTGAAGTCCCAAATGTCAGGAACAGAGCCAGGAGGAGACACCAACCTAGGTCCCTCAATAAAATGAGACCCCAGAAAGAACTCACCAATGGGAGAAGGAGACCAACCTGGTGGAAGAATATTATAGGGTAAGAAAGCCACAAGGACCATTGGATATTCCATGGTGAGGAGCCCCAAGCACTAAGGGAAGTTCCAGAATGTGATAGCAGCTGAGACATGGTTTTGAAATCTAGAAAGTTTGGACCAGAGCACTGGGAGGGGAACTGAATTTCTGTTAAACTATAATAAAATTTATATATATATACATATATAAATTCTAACACAGAAACAAGAGTGGAAATAACTTCAGAATATAGCATATCAGTGCAGGATGGGACCTCAGAAGATAGAATGTCAAAATCAAGAAGAACTTTGAAACACAGGACAAAATGTGGTATTGTAGAAAAAATATTGGCTCTAAAGTTAGAAAATTCAGGTTCTTACTAACCTTGTCACCATTAAGTTATGTAACCTCTCTGATCCTCAGTTTCCTCATCTGAAAAATGAACCAGTTGAACTAGATGGCCTCTGAGGACCCTTCCAGCTCAAGATCTATGATCTTTTGTCTTGACCTTCAAACACAGAATTTTAGAACATAGGGTCTAAGATCTGAAAGGGCCTTTGTGGACTATATAATCTAAATCCCTCATTTTCAACAAGAAGAGACGGAGGCTTGGCTAGGCAAAGGACTTGCTCAAGGTAACACATCTTGTTTGTGATGAAGCTGAAACAAGCCCCCTGACTCCTGTACATTTTTAATGCACTTTGCTAAGAATTGCTAAAAGAATACAATTATCTTCCTGATCCCTTCTCAATGTTTACACAATCAGTAATCTTTCTAAGAGATATGGAGATGACAAATGGCCCAAAGATGATCAACACCCCCCACATTTAGAACAAAATAATACCTCAGAAAAGAGCTGAACAAAATGTCATTTTGTTCTATTTTCTGAGAAGATAATATGTTCCACATTTAAGGATATGTCTCTGGATCTGGCTTCCTGCAATGCTCTCCTTTCCTCATTCCTACAGACAAACACACCCTTGAATTTCTTCCCTACCCTTCAGCCTAGTGAAATCTTATCCATCCTTCAAGACCCATTTCAAATGGCACCACCCACATGAAGCCTCCCTGATCTCCTGAGCAGAAGTGACTCATATCTTTAAATCTCTGGAACAACAGTATATACCCCGTGCATAACACTGACTAATTACTTCTTGTGTTGAGGTATATCCCTGTAGATCTTCATATTGCATTTGTGTATTTCCCCAATTTCCCCTTCAAAATTATCATCTCTTTGAGGAAAAAAATCTGCTTTGTAATCCTCAACACCTAGTCTAATACCTTTTCCATAGGTTATACTCAACACTCCCTATTGTGTGAATGAAAATTGCAATAAAGAGCAATGTAAAATTTTACACTTGGGTTCAAAAAATCAGTTTCACAAAAAGATGGGGAAGCATGATACACCATGATTCATCTGGAAAAGATTGTTGTGAGTTAGTGGACTACCAGGTGAACAGTGTATTATGACAACTCCCAAAAGCTATAGGCTACCTTGAGAGGCATGAGGTTCAGGAATAGAGAGGGGATTCAGTTGTTGTACTCTGCCCTCATCTAACCACTTTGGCAGTATTGGGATCGGTTCTGGACGTTAAATTTCAAGAAATGTGTATTAACTGAAAGCACGAAGATGACTAGGATGGTGAATGATAACAAGGTCTTGCTATACAAAGATTAAATGAAAGAACTAGGGATGTTCAAGCCTGGAAGAGAAAAAGAATCAAGGCCCTGAAAGCTATCTTCAAGTGCTTATTTGAAAGGCTGTCATTTGGAAGATGGGTTAGAACTTTCTGCTTAGCTTTAAAGGGACCAAGCTAGTAGTAGTTGGTAAAAGTGCAAAAGGAGAAGATTTTGGCTCAAAATAAGGGAAAGGGAAATCTCTTAATAATTAGGGTTCCCCCAAAGCAGACTGGGTTCTCTTGAGAAACCAATGGATTTCCCAGCATTGGATGTCTTTAAGCAAAAGGTAGGTGGATATTTGTCAACTATTTTGTAGAGGTCGCTTCTGGCTCATATCAATGAAATCAGAGTCCCCTTACTATTCCTTTTATTCCTGACATTCATTAATTCTGTGATACAAGGAGCTCTACATGAGACACATTGAGATATGGAAGAAGGAAGACACCATGACTCACACTCACTCACTGAAGTCAAATATCGTGGTTTGTTTTTTCTTGGCAGGTTTTGGCCACCTGTAATGTTAAGCAATCCTTCTTCAATGACTGGTTCTCTGGACATCTCAACTTCCAAATTGAACACCAGTGAGTAAGAAAGAAATTTTTGTTGAAAAGTTCATTTAACTCCTCTCTCTAGTACCTCATCTGAATGATGCCCTAACGTATCTGGGCAAGAAGATGGAGCACTGAATTTAAGAGACAGGAATTAATCCATCAACAAGTATTTATTAATCACCTATTATGTGTCAAGCATGGCATTAAACTCTGTACAAAGTGGGTGTCACATCTACTCACTGTTCTTAGTTTTGTCCTCTAAAACTAAGCAAACTAGGCCTAACCTGTCTTCCAAGTGACAGCCTTTCAAAGAAAGTGCTTTAAGAAAGCTATCATTCCTCTAATTCTTCTCTCCTCTGGGCTAAACACTCCCAGTTCTTTCACCTAATTTGTGCTAGGTTAGGCTCTAGTACAAAGAATGAAATCATCCACACTTACAATGAGACCCATAACCAAATCCCACCTAAGATACTCTGTGTGAACATGGTCACTTAATTCTGTACCTTAATTCTGTAATGTTTTTTCATCTGCAAAATGGAGACAATAGTATTTGTAGTACCTACCTCACAGGGTTATTGTGAGCCTCTAATAAGATATGTGCAAAGTGGAAACCTTATGATGTTACGTCAACATGAATTATTATTAACCATCAATCAACAAGTGTTTATTACGTCTACTACGTGGCAGACATCAGCACCATCACTGTCACCATCAGTCCATACAGTGATTTCATCAGTGATGGGAACTCCCTTTCAATTAGGCAATTTCCTCTAGTAATACATATTAGTAGTTGCTCTGCAACTGAGAATCTTACAGAGTTGCCTGGGGCGTGGGGAGGTGATGGGACTTGAACCCAAGTCTTTCTGACTCCTTGACCCGTCTTGCATCTATCTAATACAACATATGGCCTCTCATCGATATTAAGCAGAGTAAACATCTTTGACATGACACCACTAGGGGGAGCCCAACTTTGTTCAATAGGAGCAAGAGAGAAAAAGTCACGGAGGTATTCCCCACAGTGGTTATAGTCCATAGTCTATGGAGTATGACGCATTGTACAAGAGAGAAAAGAGAAGAAGAGAAGAGAAATTTCGGTAAGAGCACATTAAGCATCTACTGTATATGGGGCCCTGAGCCAGTCCTGGAATCATAAATTTAGACTAGAAGAGATCAGAAAAAAATATCAAGTCCATCACTCCCATTTTACAGATGAGGAAACTGAAACCTTGATAGGTTAAGTGAATTAATTGTCTAAGCTCACACAGCTAGTAAGTGCCTGGGGTGGGATTTGAACCATTACGTTCCTGACTCTAACTCCAAAATCCTTTGTACCACACCACTGCCTACCAACTGAGCAAAATAAATAATTTACACAATTACTTCCCCCTAATGGAGCTTGCAATCCAATTAAGGGATAAGACATCAAACATAAATAGCTATAATACATTATATTGAAGGAAAAATCCATTAGAGTGTTCTAAAAGAAAGTTCTCTTCAAGGGTTGATGACGAGGGTCTTTATAGACAAGGAAGATCAGGAAAGGAATAGGGAAGGAGGGCCTATCTTGAGAAAGGTACCATAGTGGATAAATCTAGAGTCCTCAAATCTTAGAACATGGTGTTAACATTAACTGGTAAGACATAGGACTGACTTGTGGGCTGAATTCCAGGGAAAGCTGATCTCTTGAATAACACGTTCTTCCCTGATACTTTGATGCTCATTTTAGATAGTCTAAATCTTACTTTATATGATCTAAGTATCTATTAGATACTTAGAATTTAGATAATTTGCTTCTTTATCATTAAGACTGAGAAACAATTTCCCACGCCAAGGCCCAGATACATATTCTAGACATTTACTAGATTTCTAGATGAAGTTCTAGAAGAAATTGAAAGAAATATATCCCATTAAAGAGTCAATCTCTCTGACTGCTCTCTATTTCCTTTGCTCTATTTCTTTGTATCAGCCACAGTGGGTGGGTAGGGGATGGAATATCCTTCACATTAGTAGTTATTTTCACAGTAGAAGTGCAGCTGGAGTGCAGTGCTAAGTGCAGAAGATTTATTCAGAAGACCTGAGCTCAAAACCTAACTCTTTGATATACCTGACCTTAGGCAAGCCTATGAGCTTTGAGGCCCTTATTTGTAAAGTGGGGATTAAACCCTCTACCTACTTTACATGGTTGTACTGAGGGTCAGATGATGAGGTCCTCTTTGGAGGGAGAGAGAACCAGAGACAGAGAAAGAAGAAGGAGAGAGACAGAGAGAGGGAGGGAGGGAGAGAGAGAGACAGACAGAGACAAAGAGAGAGAATTTTCTGCGGGCACATGGGTTTCCTTTGTCTCTTCACCACTGTGTAAGCCACTGTTTTATAACAAACATTGATTCAGGATATGTTTTTTAAAATCAACTTACCTTTATCTGAAGATAAAACATATTATAAAAATAGAGACAGCAAATAAAGAAAGTTTACAGAGAGCAGCAACATAGGCTGGAGGGTGGGGATGGGGAGAGAAACAGAGAAGGAATGAATTCACCTGGTCCCAGTATTAGTGAAGTTAGAGAAGTCAGGAAATCTTCTCCAGGCAGATCACTCCTTAATCAGGTCAGGAAGCTAAACAAGGCTCCACCTGCTTGTGATTATACTTGTTTGGAACAGCAGGCCCCTTTGGTTACAACTGACCAGCTGCTGCCACTGGGGTCTGTCCATACCCCTGCAGCCCTCTCCTTTCCATGGGGCTCAAAACTTCCCTCACTTCTCCATCCTGTCCTTCCTCCTTCCATATCCTTTAGCCCCTCCTTCCCACTGGTACAAAACTACACTTCCCATCAGCCCCCTTGTCGATAAGTAGCTACACATGTAAAGAATTTTATACAATTTAAAGGGCTACATAAACATCAGCTACCATCATGTCTTGTGATCCTCACAACACCCTTGGAGGTAAACCAGTACTGGCTGTGATTTATAGATGAAGAAAGTAAAGCACAGAATGACTGACTAACTTACTCAAGATCATACAGTTAATGAAAGAGCCAGAACTAAAATGCAGGTCTCCTGACTTGTCTCTTTAACTAATGTTTACTATATCAATCTATCCAGAGGACAGTGACATTCACTCTAACAGATAATCCATAAGAACAGATAAATCAAACAATCTTTCATATTTGATGTAAAATACAATGTAATTGTCTCCTCGAGATCATTGCTTTCATAATTATATTTGGTTTGGATTAATATTCACATTCATTGGCATGATCCCAACAGCCCCCAAAGCCTAACCACTGCCTGTCTCACAGACATCTTCAGTGAATGAATGTGAGAGTGGTACAGGTTCTTAGAATTTCCCTGAACAGAGATAGGTGCGTGTTTATGGTTGTGTTCTCATTGGTGCTATGATGGATCTAAGATCGTTCTGATGAGAGTTTTCCCTCCACCAAAGCAGTTTGCACTCTTTCACATCATCTTGATTGTGTGTTCCGTGTCTGTGTCTTCCCATAGCAGATCTATAAGAATCAGCAAAAATACTACTTCTGATATCTAGGTCTAATATTCTTTTCCTTCTCTTTCTTCCTCCAGCCTATTTCCCACCATGCCTCGCCATAATTATTATAAAATTGCACCATTAGTGAGGTCGTTATGTGCCAAGCATGGAATTGACTATGTGAATAAGCCAATGTTGAAGGCATTTGGGGACATTGTCAGGTAAGAGATTATCTCAAAATTCACAGGTTCCCTTCTCCCTACACAGTTAGTCTGTCCAGGGGCTCCTTCACATTTGAGACCCACAGAGGGCACAGCACAGGGTTAGCTACTATGGGAGTCACACATGAAAAATTTAACATTGCGGACTCTGAGGAGCTCACAGTCAAACAATGGAGACCACAATAAGGCCTTTGAATACATCAGGGAATAATTTAAAAGTCAAATAAAATCAAGCAGACAGGGCATGTGTCAATTATCAGTTACCACTTTACACAGCTGTAAAATGCTGGGGATATAAAGAAAGGCAAAAAAAAAGTCTCTGCTTTCAAGAAGCTCATTTCTAATGAGGGGAGGGGATGGACATCGTGCACACAACGTGAAGTCATCTCAGAGGAAAAGCGATAGTGTTAAGGGGAATCAGAAAAGGCTTCTTGTAAAAGGCGAGATTTTAGCTGGGACTTGAAGGAAGCCAGGGGGAGTGATGAAGAGAGAGAAAATTCCAGGTCATACATAGCCAGTGAAAATGCATGGAGTCAGGAAATGGAGCGTCTAGTTCTAGGAATAGCAAGAAGACTGATGTCACTGGGTCTCACAGTGTGAAGAAAGAAGTATAAGAAGATTGGAAAGTTAGAAAGGGACGAGGTTATAAAGGGCTTTAAAAGCCAAAGAGATTTCCTATTTGATCCTAGAGGTAATAGGGAACAAGGGGAGTTTATTGGACCGGGGATGGGTAACACTGCCAGACCTCCACTTTAGGAAGATCAACTTGGCAGCTGACATTCTAGGACATACTAGAGTGGGGAGAGACTTGAGGCAAGAAGGTTAACCGACAGGCCATTGCAATACAGGAGGACGGCCTGCCCCACTGGATTGGCAATGCCAGGGAGCATATATGAGTGATGCTACAAAGGTTAAAAAAAACCAGGATATGTCCAAATCCAGCCTCAGACACATGATACTTACTAGCTGTTGTGACCCTGGGCAAGTCACTTAATCCTAATTGCCTCACCAAAACAAAAAAAAAAACAACAAACCCAAAACCAGGATATGACAACTGATTCTATGTAGAAAATGAGATATAGAGAGGACTAGAGGGTGACAACCAGATTGAGAACCTAGGCAACTTGGAGCATGTTGGTGCCCTCAATAGTATTAGGAACATTGGGAAGTGAGAAAGGCTTAGAGCAAAAGATAATGTTCAGTTTGGGACATGCTGAATTTGAAATGTCTATGTGACATCAATTTTGAGATGTCTAATATGCAATTGGAAATGCAAGACTGAAGGTCAGCTGAGAGGTTAGAACCAGGTAAAGAGATCTGAGACTCAAACCCAGAGATGATGATTGAATCCACTGGAGCTGCTGAGATCACCAAGAGAAATAGCATAGAGGGAGAAGAGAAGAGGACCAGGACATAGAATATAATTAATCCTAATGATGTGGAAATAAAGTAGAAGTCAGAATAGGGATAGACAGTGTGATGTGGCAACCAGACAGCTAATAAAACCTTGTCTTCATTGAGGAAGAGCATCCAGGAATGAGCCAATTATCATCTCATTGTACTCTACACTCATCAGGGAAATCTGGTGAATTCATTCTAATTCTATCTGCTTGTTCCTTCTCAGTCTCACTTGATGTATCATCATTGGTACCCCGCCCCCTAACTGTAGGTGTACCCCGAAGCTTTGCCCTGGGCCTTCTTTCCTCTCTACACTGTTTCACTTGACAACCTCATCAATTGCCATTGGGTTTAATGCTCATCTACATAAATGACTCTATGCTATCTAAATCTAGCTGAGTGTTTCTTCTGGGCTCCAGCCTATCACTTCACCAACTGCCTATTAGATGTTTGAATTGGATGTTCTATAGAGATCTCAAACTCTCCTTGTCCAAAACAGAGACTCAGCAACAACCCCAGCCCCCCAGCAAAAAAAAAAATCAGCCCCTATTTTGAAATTCTCGATTTTTGTTAAGGGCACCATCTTCAAAGGATTTCACGTTGATGTCATCCTCAACTCCTGATTCTCGCTCATTGAACATATCCAGCCAGTTGCCACGCCCTATTGTTTCTCCTCCTAATGTTAGTCTTGATGGCCAGATCGCATCAAGCATTTGAAAAATATATGAAAGAAGAGGGTTTAAACTTGCCCTTTTTGGCCCCAGAGGGAAGAATTGGGAGCCATGAGTTGAATTGGCAGAGAGACAAAATGGGTTTTATATATGAAAAAATGTATTAATAATTAGGCTCATCTAGAAGTAGAAGAGGCTATTTTAGGATGTAGTAACCTCCTCTCTTATTGGAGTCTTTCAAAGAATGATGCCCAGGGGACTATTTTATAAAAGAAATTGCTTTTCAGGTATGGTCTAAACTAGATGATCTCTGAGGTCCCTTCCTATTCTGTTATTCTGTGAACTCACTGGGGCATAAAAATGTTGAAAAAGGCTTCGTCAAGCAGGCAGGCAGGCAGGCAATCAAATATTTATTAAGTACTTACTACGGTGCCAAGCACTGTGCTAAGCACTGGAGACGCAAAGAAAGTCTGCACTTTTAAGGAGCTCACAGTCCAACGGGGCCAACAACATGCAAACAACTATGTACAAACAGGCTACTCAGCAGAGGGAAGGCACTGGATTCTCATCTCAGGACGTCAGACCTCAGGCTGAGCCCTGGAGGTTGGGTAGTTTCAGCATAGTGGGGAGAACAGGACTCTGTGTGGTGTAGATATGAAAGAAGGTGCAGGTGATTCCCTGGAGGCACTCTTGTCATACAAGGGCAGGAGAGAAGAGCGAGCTGACCGAACTGGGATTTCCGCCAATGGCTGCAGATTTCTAGGGGACATGGGAGAGCCAGATACTAGGAACAAGGCTGATATGTAATTAATCATTCCAGCCTATAGGGGATGCTGGGGAGCTTAAAGGTGGAGGGGGTAGATCAGGACGAGTGGAGCAGTTAGTGGCAGCACCCAGAGCTAAGCCCCTGAATTTTTCTCCCCTTATGTCTTCATAGGTGTAAGGAGGGGCTATTCACGAATGGCTTTGTGGATCATGACTCATGACATTGTGACCAAATACAATTTACACCAGAAATGGGAGGGAGAGGGAGAGACAGAGACAGAGAGAGACAGAGAGACAGAGAAAGAGAGACAGAGATGAAGAGAGAGAGAGAGAGAGAGAGAGAGAGTGAGAGAGCTCAATAATGAAATCCATTGTGAGAACCAATGTGAAACAGCTGCCCAATTTGACTGCTCAGGCTGAGCTACCCTCTCATCTTTCTCATCTTTGTTTTGGCTTCTTCCAGGTCACTGAAGAAGTATGGTGATCTCTGGGTGAATGCTTACTACTCTACCTGAGATGGAACACATGCAGTTGGGTCTTGGGCATGGGTTGTGGGATGGGGAAGGTATTTTCGTTGCTTTATTGTCCTTGAATGTTGGAGCTCTTTGACCATGCCAACTTGCCATCCAGACCACAGACACAGAAACACCAGACCTTGCCTTGCAGGGCTATCATTCAAAATAAGAAATAGAAGAAAGAAAAGACTGGTTTGTGTCAGAGGGGAGAAGGGGAAATGGGATTCTGTTTTCTGCACATCCAAACTTAGTCTTCTCAACAAGCCCAGTCTGGGCCATCTCCTTTGAAAGAGAGTGCATTGGATAGCAAAGCATTTCATAAAAGTGATTTATTGAGACAGAATTGACCAAGGAAGAATCTTTAGGTAAGTCATAGAAATTCACATTTCTCTAGAGCTTTAGGGTTTGCAGAGGGCTTTCTTTCCCCCACAACAACCTTATGAAGAAATTTGTGCAAGTATTATCGTACACATTTTACAAATGAAGAAACTGAGGCCCAAAAAGATTAATCACACAGGTAGCAACACTTGATCCACTGCACTGTTAGTAGATAGGTAAACAGGGAGAGTTATTGCTTGGAGAAGGGAGGAACTAACTGCTTATGGCATGTCTGTTTGGGATGAAAAATCATTTCTTTTCATTCTTTAGTGAAAAAGAGCTGATGTTTCCATACAGTTGGCAAAGCACTTAGGCACCTTATCGGTTATGAGCTGCATTTCACAGTTGAGCAGTTCTCTGAGGCCCAGAGAAAAGAAGTTGGTCATACTCACACAAATATAAGAAGCAAGATGCAAATCCAGGCCTCTTTGGATTCCACATCCATCCAGAGCTCTCTCCATTAGGACACACAGCCTCTTGGGCCCACAAGCCCCAGATGCCAACTGGCCCAATAGCTTGAGCAAGGTTTTTAAAACGATAATTGGAGATCAGCATGGTTCCCTCTCTCCTCCTTACAAAATTCCTTTGTTCATCATCCCCAAGGCATGCACTTCTGTCTCGAGTTCCCTGGGCTACAATGCCATTGTTCATGCTTCATGGAATAACCCATACAATTGGAGGGGACTGGAATCAATGGAGAGACCTGACCCAGCTAAGGCTTAGCTCAGATGCAGGGTCACATGATAAAGGATCCATGTGGCCTCATCACCTCAGCCTCTTAAAATCCTTCCATGGGAGTCCTTTTCTAATTCTTCCTAATGTTTAGTTTTCTTTCTGTGCTCAAACGGACTTGTATTTACTAGCCGGTTCATAGGCTACATCCTCCCAGGAGAATAAAAGCTCCTTGAGGGCAAGAACAATTTTTTCATTTTTGTCTTTGCATCCCCAGTGCCTAGCACAGTGCCTTTTACTGTAAATTCCTAATAAATATTTTGATGACTCTGATTGTTGAAAATGTATATGTCATATAGATTTTATCCTTCCAGGTTCACCTCAAGTCTCATCTCCCTTAAGAACACTTTCTTGACTCCTTCTGTTCAGTACTGTCTTTCCTCAAATTCTCTTATATTTATGTCTCTATTTATGTTCTATGTCCTCCACTAGAATGTAGCTCCTTGAGGCAGGAATCGTTTCATTTCTACATCCCCAGCCTTTAGCACTGTGCTTTGGCAAATAAGAGAAGGTTAGTAAAAGTTTATTAAGTTCTTGCCAACTCCTTGAAGATAAGATTGAAGGACATTCTCAGCAACACTGTGATCTCAAAAGTGTATTTTTCTCTGCCTATTTAAGTGGTGTTAGTCAATGTGGGATATAACTAGGATTAGTCTACTGATGTGATCTGAGACCATAATGGAAGATCTCTCCACCTACCTTCAACTCCAGAGCCCACACTCCTAAAAATAACCTCTCCAGTGATTAATCCCAATGTATGAAATTATATCAACTTTGCTAATCATACAGGTAATAATTACACACTTGTATACACACGCTCTTTCCAATAAAATTTAAGCTACTTAAAACTGGAGACTGTTTCATTGTTGTTTTTATTTATACAGGGCCACCAACAGTGCTTGGCGTATTGCAGGATCTTTAAAAATATCTTTTGAATTCAACTGAATTGAGTAACTTATAAATGAATTATCCACATGAGTCACTAGAGGGAGTTTCTACACTACGGAATTCCCTCTGCTAATCACAGGTCCAGACAAGAAAAAAAACCAACTCTGCCATGTTTGATCTTGAACCCCCACTGTATGTCACTATTGCTGCCACCAGCTATTAACAGTTCCACCCTAGCACCCCCTATTTCCCCCCTTGACCTCAGTCCAACAAAGGTGAGACTTTTCTCAAGAGGGTTTTATTAAGCATGTAAGAACAAAAGAAATTTACACTTGTCCGTGGCATGCAAAGCA